CGACCACCACAAACCGGATCATTCTTACTTTCCTCGAGTCGCCCGCCCCTAACGCTACAGTCAAGCTCACTTCGCCCATTGGCATTACCTCTCCACCATTGAATCCGTACAAAGCTGTCACCACTGGTTTCAACTCCAGATTCAGATGTTTGTTGATCTGGGCAAAACAAATCGTAGAACATCACGTCGACCGAGCTCCCTGTGTCGATGAATATTCTTTTTACATCAAACCCTGCCACTTCGGCTGTGATGACCAGTGCGTCATTATGAGGTAGCAAGATTCCCTTCGCGTCTTCTGCTCGAAAGCTTATCACAGGCATCCGACCAGTTATCCCGACTTCCTCTCTTTTACGCTTCACCGCTAGTACATGCCCCTTTCGCGCATTATTTGAATCTCCATCCATTGGTCCTCCTGAAATCATGTAAATCGTGCCCCTCTTCACAGGTACCTCCTCCCTCAGGTCCTCTCGACCATCGTTTGGTCGTTTTTTTTCTTTCTCTTCTGGCATCGTCTTCTCCATCGTCGTCCCTATCACTCCTTGCCACAGAATTTTCCCTGCATCTTCTCCTTTCTCTACCTCGCGGTCGGTCACGAATGACAAATTCCTTCAAGTGCCCTGCCCGTATGAGACGCTCGATCTCGTCTTTCAAGTGCCTACAATCGTCTGTATTATGTCCGTAGTCCCTATGAAATCTGCAGTATTTATTCGACCTCGGTTTGGTCGGTCCCTCGAACCTGGTCGTTGGCCAGGTGACTTCCTTGCTTTCCAACTTCTCCTCTATGGCCGCCAAGACTTCGCCCATCTGGGCGTTGATGGGAGTAAAATGATTATATCTCTGACCGCTTGGTAGCCGAGGTCGCCCCTGCCAACGATCTTCCCGCCTTTCTCGGAACGACTTTTGCCCATCCCTCCTGGGCGACGGCCTCTAAAAAGATCCTCCTCTTGGAGAAATTTTCCTAGGTGATCCCCTCCTGGGCGAACTTGTCTTTCCTTTTTTTCTGCTCGGGTTTCACAACGTCCTCGAGCTTGGCGAATTCTGCTTCCGTTTCTTCCAAGTTAATGTATTTCTTGCATCTTTTGAGCACCTCATCGTAGGTTCGAGCAGACGTCTTTGCCAGCGACGTTCGACATGGTCCTGGCCTCAGACTTCTAATCAATCCTCCTGCTTTCACCTCGTCACCTGCCGTGGGCACCTCCAGACACACCTGATTATATCGAGCAACGTACTTCCGTAAGGATTCCTTCTCGCCCTGTCTCATTGCCATCAATGTAAGGTATGTCTTCTCCTGGGCGACCGCACTTGAGTATTGGTTAGTGAGTTGTCCTGTGAAATCCTCAAAATCCCTGATCGAACCTGGGGCCAGTTGGTGGAACCAGTCAAG